TAAAAAAAATGTAAAGAAACAAATTTAAGAATTTCAATAAATGTTTTATCATAGGAAATAGAGTTAACTACTAATCAAAATTTCACAATTATAGAATGTCACAAGATTATCAGAGATTATTTAGAACATTATTTTGATGCTTTAATTATACTATAACCATGTTTTTTGGGAAAAAAAAATATTTTTTAATTTGCTAAAAATATCATATTTTATATACACTCAAAATTTCTTTTTTAAAAAATTACCTAAATGCCTAGAATTATTATATCTATAGCATATAAAAAATTGCACAATAAAATTTTTAAGGGTATAAAATTATTCTCATTTTTGTAATATGAAATTATAAATTAAATCAAGAATAATCCAAATTTTTATATTTTAAAAGTTGAGATAGGCAGAATGTAACATACCTCAATACGAATAATTTTTTGAACTGGGATGATAGTAGAAAGTGGACTAGAGGGGAGAAAAGAAAACTTTCGCTCATTAGAACATCTCCATCTCTTTATTGAGGTAGTTGAAGGGGGTCTTCTATTTTATTTAATAAGAATGAATTTTTTTTTTGATATTTTTATATAAATTGAGGTAGGGCCACAACACTCCCCATTGGAGAGTAGAAAGCCGTAACGCCCAGCCCCAACACTATTAACTTAGTTTATTTTTTAAAATTTCACTAGAGAGCTAAATGTACAGTGCTGCCAACCCAGCATCGTAGTGCTCCTAGGGGAAAATTTCTAGATTTTATATACATGCATATATACCCCATGAACGCACTTCAGAATAGATTTAGACACTCTCATGCATATAGAACACTCGTAGTCACATGTAGAAGACTTGATTGCAAAAGTTTCACTTTATTGCTCTTAATAAACTAGGTCAGAAAATGTGCAACTACACACAAATTTAGTAGGCATTACATTGTATATAATAAAATGGTGCCTACTGTCAATATTATTAGTGTGTGAATGTTTGATTGAATTATTAATATTGCATAATATAATATTATTATAACACATCATGGGAATGATATACACTTGTAATCTAAAATAAAAAAAGTTATTGCTTTAACCACAAGACTTGGGCAGCATAACTTCCTACAATTATGTACTCTGCCTTTATAATGGATAGGGCTTTTGAGTTATATTTTCTACTTAACCAAGAACTAATAATTGACCAAAAAATTGATAAGTTCTTGATATGCTCTTTCTATCTACTTTACACCCCACAAATTTTAAATTTAAATTTCCAACTAACTTAAAGCCCATGTTATTCCTAGGATACCAAATAACTAAGTTAAGTGTCCCTATGAGATATTATATGTTTTGTTTTATTGTAGA